ACACACACACACACACATACACACACACACACACACACAGACAGAGCGCAAGATAAATCATTGCTTTATCCTCATAACACATTCAAGTCCGTTTTGACCTGGAAGAGATGCATAAAAATGTCTTTTAGTAAGTTTTTAGTAAGGGAACGGAACGTAGCAAATGCCTTAAGAGTCTCAAAATACACATCATTTATTTTTTTCAGATTTTTTCCAATAATTTTTTAAGAGATATTAACCATTTAAAATGTTCAGGTCATTTTGACCTGGGTATGTATGGAGCACCATTAGTGTCAAAAATACTTTCTGTTAAATGATCTATGAAGTTATATAGTGTCAAAAATTTTTGTGAAATATATTTCAGATTTTCCCCATATCTGAATTTTGTTGATGAACATGAATATGCTCATGAAACATTAATGCCTATTAATGAAGCATAAAAAAACACATCACTTTTTCATCTGAAAGTGAAAGTTTATGCAAGTGAAATGAATTTATTTTGATTGAAAACTTTTCAGAGTAATATTTACGTTGTTTTGATGTTGTTTTGTTGGAAATAAATATGTAGGTTTCATACATTTGTACTGATTTTGAGCAGTTCAGAGGAATTTAATTTCCATTCATTCCAATGGGGTTAATACTGATTCTCAGATTATATGTTTATATAAATTTCATACTAAATTTCATATATAAATATATATATTGCATCACAGTTTTTTTGTGTGGTTCGTGTAAAATTTGAAATTTCAAATAATTTATAAAAAGGGGTGAATGCCGTAATAACATGGTAGCATTCAAAACTTTTTTTCACATTCACTCATTAATGATCAGTTGCTGATCAGATACAGTCTGGTGGTTTGAGTTGATGTCGAATGCATTATGAGGGCTAAACCCGTCAGAACGAGGCGTGATGATGGAGAAAATCATTAGCAGGTTAAGTGCTGATGTGTTTTTGGAGATGACCTGCCGATGGAGGACATTCGAGCCGTGCTTTCATTTGCAGAGAATGTCAGAGACTAAATGTCAGAGAATAGGTCAGACGGCACTCAGGGGCCCAAACACATCCAAACAGATCCATTACCATTCATTTCACACAGCTAAAGTATTACGGGTGGAACGATTAGAGGCGATCAGAGTTTAATCAGCTTCCTCATTAACGGACAGACATTAAACTCGGCGCTAACAGCAAACGAGCGCTGAAGCAGTTCACTTGATAATCAATTCATATCAGCATTATTTGCTTGATTAATTGAATAAAAAGATTTTATTTCCAGCATTTTAGTGAAAAGCAAATTATTCCTCATGTTGAGAATTGATAACAAACAATACATACAAATGTAAAAACAGTGTTATTTGAGTATCACTGATTATTGTTCTATTATATTTTTTTAAATTATATTTTATTTTTATATATTTTCTAACTGTGATTTTAGCTAGTTTTTTTGTAAAGTAATTAATTCATTTGTTATTAATTTTAATTTGTTTATGTTATTGTTATAATCTAATATTATTGAGTTATTTTAGTATTCAACAAACTAAATGAAAATGAGAAATAAAATATCTGAAATAAAATAAATTTAATTGTATTTCAATTAATGTTTATTTTATTTCAAATAACAAAAATATTTTTATTTTATTTTATTTTATTCTAGTTTAGTTTAGTTTTAGCTAACTATAATAACCTTGATTAAAAATAATTTAAAATACAAACGTTTAAATAAAGGAGCTCAGACCAAACTAATCAATCACACATACAAACTATTTTCACTACATGTTCATTGACAAGTAGTTGCAGTTACTTTAGAACTATCATTCATATATTATAGTTATAATAATGAATTTAATATATTTTATAATAATGAATTTAAAAAGCATTTAAAATAGCTGTGTAGTACAATTTTCACTCATAAATTACAAAGAAATGAGAAGTAATACATTAAATTAAATGAGAAACTTTGAAGCAGAAAGACTCAAATAGTATTTTCTCGTAAAATGCACTCCAATAATCTTCAAAATCATTTTGTACAGTTCAGTCTGGATTTCATACGCAGTTCATGTTGTTCTCGTGATCTCGCTGTAATGTGAGGATTAGTTCATGCTGGATTATAGGACTCAGAGTTTGTAGAATATCTCTGTCCGGTGTGTTTTTAGTACCGTCTACGCAGGACGGAGCTGCTCTGGTGGTTCCTGCCACTTGTCCCGGGAAACACGAGCACTTGACGGTCTGCGAACGCTCCTCGATCTTGTTCTTATTGCAGCATCGGTGTAACGCCACCACCTCACACGTTCCCGTCCGCACGTCACGCACTACTGCAACACAACACAACCTTCATCACTTTCACTGAAAACAACAAAAACAAAATACACTTTTTAAATTTGATTTCAGCTAACATTTCTCATTTTCACTTAATGTAACTTGATGTACTAAAATAACTAAAAGTGGAATAAAAATTCATGCAAATTATTAGAAATTATTATCAGAAATATTACATTTTTTAAAATATATTTGAACATTTTTAGAAACTAATAAAAATTACAAAAAACCCATACACAACAAAATTGCTAAAACTTTAGCTAAAATTAAAAAAGAAAATATGAAATTTAAACTAATTCAAAATATGAATAAATATGATAATAGTACCACAATGAAACTAAAATAATGCTGGAGCACAATCATCATAATAGACATTAAAAAAAAAAGTTAATTAATTTTTTTAAACAACAAAAAAAAATTTTTAAACAGAAAAGAAAGAAAAAGACAAACAAGAAAATAAAAAAATAAAAATAAAATAAAATGAAATAAAATAAAACAAATTTTGTAAAAGCCACATAATTTCAATGAAACTAAAATAGCACTGGACCACAATCATCATCATAGACATTAAAAAAAAAAAAGTAAACAATACAAAGTAAAAAAACATAACAAAGAAACAAACAAGTACATAAAATAATAATAATAATAATAAAAATAAACTGAATAAAAACCACATAATGTCAATGATACTAAAATCCCAGACCATTGGGACAAGACCACGGGAACCAGATGAGTCCTCTGCACAATCTGACTTTGCTGCAGCCTAGAATTTAACTGCAGGTCTCGCCTGGCCAGAGGAGAACAGCACACTATCTTGACACACTATTTCCCTTTTTTTAATACTGTAAAGCTGCTTTGACGCAATCTGCATTATAAAAAAGCGCTATATAAATAACAGTGACTTGACTTGACTAAAATAACACTGGACCACAATCATCATCATAGACATAAAAAAGTACATACATTTTTTAAATAAATAAATAAATATTTAGAAAATAAATGAAATAAAAAATAATAAAATAAAATAGAATAAAATAAACTGAATAAAAACCTCATAATGTCAATGATACTAAAATAGCACTGGATCATCATCATCATCATCATCATCATAATGATTGATTATTGGACACAGTGAGTGACGAGCTCAGCTAAACTCCATAAACTCTAAACACTTAACTCTTCAGTACTAAAGCTGTATTCATGAAGCCAGCGCTGTGAGCGACTGAAGGAGCGCAGGAGGAGGCGCCGCTGAGTCTCGCTCGCTGTCCTTCTAGCCGCTCAATTATTCACACGCTGCGGCGCTCTGCACTTTTAACTGCTGCTGACATTTGTGTGTGTGTGTGTGTGTGTGTGTGTGTGTGAGTGTGTGTGTGTGTGCAGTAAACAGCTAATTAAGAGTTTGCATAGCGGACTCAGAGCGGACGAGCTTTTCTAATTAAACTGCATCTGCATGAGTTGTACTAGCGAGATCTGCTGGGATCGGTGGCGATCGAACAGGAAACAGGAAGTGCACTGCTGTGATTTCCTCTGCTGAACTATGTTTCTAAGCGTCTCTGCTCTGATCACGTGATCAGACGGATGGCGACAAACCAAACCTGTAAATTAAATTAAGATGCATTGACTTGAGAAGAAAAATGACTGAAGATATAAAAGTTTTCTAAAAAAAAAAAAAGCAACAAAATGAAGTGAGTTAAAGCTTAGAAAAAGAACAAATGTCTGCCAATGGGGTCAAAAATACTTAATTCAAAGGGAAAACAAGATAATTTTTCTGACCTCAATGGCAGATATTTGTGCTTGTTTTACATATAATTTTGATACGTTTTTCATTTTGCTTCTCCAGTAAATGCAACTTGATTTAATAACGTTTAGATGTTTGTGCTGGAAAACAAAACAGAAATACTGAGGAAGAACATCAGTTTTGCAGTGAAATGAAGTCTATGGGTCGACAATAACATGAGATATTAATGAATATCATGTGCGTGAATGTTATCATTAACTAAAACATTTTTGTTCATTGGAATAAAGCTGAAATTAATTAAAATAAAATGAAAAAATATATACAATAAATTAAAGTAAAATAAAAACTGAAAATATAATAATAAAAGCTAATTAAAAAGTAAAATGTATACATTTATAAACATTTTATATAAAATGTATAAATATAAATACACTTTATATACATTTGATAAATAATTAATTAGAAAATATGCATAAAAATTAAATAATAAATCTAACAACAGTACAATAGCACTGCTGTGTGTGATTCAGGTTTGAGACCCACCCTGATGTTTCCTGGATTGTGCTGGAGATCCCAGGAGGAGAACCAGCAACAGGACCTGAGTGAGAACTTTCTGAAGATCCCTCATGCTCATCCTGCACACAAACACACACACATCAGACACAGAGAACGTCTTCACTGTGGCACCCATCCGCTTCCATTGGATTCATTGAAAGTGAACTTCGTTTGCAGGAAAAATCCCAGGTTTTCTCAATGGACTCATGCAGAAACAGATTCGCTCCAGAGCTGAGCCTCGTTAGGCGTCACGTAAACGATCTCACTCACACTGATGGTAATTACTGGCAGCTGGGCGTATCGCTTACACACGGGTTATGAACTGATATTTGCTTTCTATATTCCATTACGGAGGTGCTGGAGATCTGACCGTTTGTTTTCCGATCGGTATTAGAATTGTGGTTGAGTAATGAGTTTTAGATCATCTGAGACTGACACACACACACACACACACACACACACACACACTCACACGCACACACACTCAC